CAACGTTTCGACTACAAATAAAAGTTATTATAAAAAACTAAATATTTTTATTATATCTCAGTAGGTTTTTGTCAGTCGGATATTGTAAAGTTAAGCCACAAAGGTTTTTTTATCAAAAAAATTCTAGTATACCTAAGATCACTATGTCTTTTTCTTTGAAAAGTCTTGCTACAATTACTTATCAGAGCTTTGTAGATAAACTGTACTGCTTCTTTTATTTTTAAATTTTCTTCTTCTACAGCACTACTCAAGCTTGTAGCTTTGAAACGCAAAACTAATGTTATTTCAGATGGTGCACCTACTTGTAGCCTATTACTACATGTAAATGGACGTGCTTTTATCCATATAAAAAGCTCAGTGGATACTATTCAAGTACACATACTCATCGCTGTAAGTCGTACAATGATAAAAATGTGCCAAAGTAATAGCGCCTTTGACTGTATACAGCTTCACCCCATAGTTTTTTTACCCTGTTATTAAAATCAGATAAAAATATACTTCTTTATCCTTCATTTGTAAACCACTTTTCTATCCCATAGTCCTAACGATTCTTTTGCCTATAATAAATCCTTCTTTAATCTCTCAACAGTCCCCACAGCTGCTCTAACTTCTACGATTGAGATGCATTCCAGTCATTTTATCTCATGGTCTTCAACAAGTATTATTTCTCATGAATTTCAAATTAATTATTTTCTGAATCTTTAACCCTTAATTTTATTATGGTTTTTTTCCAGAATTTTCTGATTCCATTTTTATTACAAAAATAATTATTGAAATGCAAAAATTGAACTGTATTCCGTGGACCCCAGAACACTTGTATTAGTCACGACCTTCATGACGTCATGAATTCATAAACATTCTCTCACAAATATATAATGAAAAGAACAATAAATGTTATCCCAAAGTAAACACAAAAAATTGTAATACTTAGATTGCACTTTTCAGCTCTCGTGCTTATGGTGTCTTAAAATAATCATCATATGTAATTAAGTCAAATATTATCCCTTCATCAAGAACTAAAAGATTCCTTAAGTCGTCTTTAGTAAAACGTAAGTAAAATTGGCTTCTTATTTGTTAGCCATTGTGTAACGTATATGGATATATAAATAAGGTTAAGAAACTGAACGATTTTCATTTTCGTACTTTGTGCCGACTTCTCAAAAAAAGTAATCTACGCGTTATTCATATTTTAAATTCGTGATCAGTTTTAAAATGAAAAAAAATCCCATAAATAAAATGAAATTTATTTCAAAAAACATATTTTTTGTGTGTTCATGTATTTGTGACGACACAAAAGTGTAACAAAAATAATTTTTAGTAAGAATTAGGGGTCTAAATTCAAAAAATAATTAATTTAGAATTAATGAAAAAATGATAATTTCGTTAGGTCGAATTTTTCAAAAACCATAGCACTGAAACATTGTGACTGAAGTATGACTTGATGGTCCTTATTAAGATTTTTTTACTATTGCTAACTTGTATAGTTATAAAAGTGTACAGGATACTAGAAAATCATGTATTTATTATGTTTCTGCTTTGTATTGCCCAAGAACACTTATTCTCCGTATAGAATTCAAACTAAGGTAAAAAAAGATTAATGAGCTTTGCAAAGTAAGTAAGCATGTTACCAATTTTTATGTTACTATCGTACACTTTTTATACATTTCGATATAGTGAAAATTTGAAGTCCAAATCTTGGATAATATATGATGAAAATTTTTTTGTTACTATATAGCATTTCTCAATTGTTTCGAAGGAGCCGAAAAAAAAGTGTCTAGTGTCCTTCTATCCAAAAAAATTTATTTTTTAATTTACACTGAATAATATAGGCATTTTTTTGTGCAGATAAAGCAATTGTAACAGATGTTCGAAACATGATACATGTGTCGGCAAAGTTTGTTCCAAAGTGTTGAACCACCTATTTACACATCGTTTTTTGTTCGTAATTTTTAGTAATAAAATAAAACAGTAAAAATGCCCCAGAGTTCATATTTTTCAGACATGGCTGTCTGTGATAAAAAATATTTCAAAAATAAGAAGAAGATGGCAGTTATTTTACAAACGACTAAAACATGAAAAAAGCATCTCTGAAATAATAAAAAGCTACCCTAAAGATTAACTTTAAAAAAGATTTGGCAAAGTGGAAAAAGTGCTGGCACAAATGTATAATACGTAATGATGACTATTTTAAAGACAACAACAGTCGTGAGTAGTTCTCTTGTTTTTAAAAAAATTATTATTATTATTCTCTATTCGTGGGATACATGTATTTTCTATATTATGGATTGTGGCCCACAAATGTATGGCAATCTGAGTAGCGTGTCAATTAACTATTGTTTTCATCTGATAATGATTGCAGCAGTTTGAAGATGATAAACAGGAATAGACACAGGGAAGCACACTTTAGATTAAACTTTTAGAGGATTTATTTATCGGTTAAGCTCACTGCAAAGTACATAATTTCTAAAATACTATGGTAAAAAATAAAAAAAAAATACATATATATATATTCGATCTAGAAATAACTGCAAAATACTCTAATCTGTTATACTTTTCAGTTCTAAGTAGTTGCTTATAAACAATTTATGTCCTTGATATAATAATAGCAGTTCTTAAAAAATATTTTTTTCACGTGGTGCTTGGGATTTATCAAGTATTTTTGATTTTTCTTAAAATTATCTATTTTTTATAAGTCTTAAAATAACTTATTGCGTAGGAATCAGACATATATCTGTATTGCCTTATATTTATTTTTTCGAACCGGCCAATGTGGCCCACTGGCTTAGACTGCGGTTTTCGTAGGTCCTGTAGCTCAGGGGGCTTGGGAACGCATGCTCACGAGTTTGAGACCCAGCCTTTACTGACTTTCCTTGCACCTCTGAGAAAATCTACTTTCTTATATGCGTATTTCCAACCGTGGTCCGATAGTTTGGAAGCCATGTTAAATGGTCCCCTGTGTAAGTGATTGATGTCACAGTTAAATCTGAGGCGATTTCTCACTATGCCAATGACGATAGCGTATATATTATGCATAGTAACACACCACTGCAGAGCCTACTGGGCACAGTTCTCAGAAGTGGCTGTAAAATATGAAAAAAAAAAAAACAAAAAAAAAAACACTTTTTTAGTACTTTCATTAGAAGTTTAGTCTCTTGTGCTTCTTTATCATGTTATTTAATAGAAAATATTAAAAAAAAAAAAAAAAAAAAAAAAAAAAACCCCCCCGTGACAANACATATATATATATTCGATCTAGAAATAACTGCAAAATACTCTAATCTGTTATACTTTTCAGTTCTAAGTAGTTTTATGTATACTCCAAGAGGATTTCAAGAACAGCGAGGAATGTATAAAGACAATAAATAACTTAACGGGCAATGCTGTTCAAATTTTATTATGTCGTGACAACGTTTCGACTACACTTTGGCAGTCCTTTTCAAGTCACTAAATTTAACAATGTAAAATGAACTTTCTAATGATAATTACAACAGCTTTAGTAATTTCTAAGCTTTTAACATAGTTTTTACGATAAAAATAGATAAATTATGAAAATTACGAATTCGACGTTGACAAAAATATTATTGAGCAAAGTCAATTAATATAAGTTACATCTTTTCTTGCTCGTAAGTAATGACTAGACAATAATAAGGCTTACAGGTAGTGCTTATTTTCAACGCTAGTATGTAACAAGTGGCG